GCTTCCCCACCTGGCAAACATTCATGCATTTTTAAAGAAAACAGATGACTTTGTTTAGATAAACTCTCCTGTGGCCTTGTAGAGTATCAGGTGGTTCACGTACAAGGCCAGAGAAGGATGCCTGGTGAATGCAGAAAAATTAAGATGCCATCTTTATTGTTAGTCATTTAATTACTCTTAAATTATAATTAGTTTAATTGCAACTATTTCCCCTAAATGCATACAGTAATTTTGACAAGTACGTGCTTCACTGTTCTAATACAGAAACTTCTTTCCATTTTTTTCTGCTAAGGCTCTGTCAGGCAATGTCCTAGTTATAAACAATATCTTCGCTATGTTTAAGTCCCCAAGAGGACTGAATCTATACCACATTTAATTAAACTAGGATTGCTATTCAGCAGATCTTAGTGTAAAAGTGAGATTTCTAAGACCTGAGCCGCAGTTGGTGGCTTAAAGTGAAGTGACTTGCACCTTCTAACATTGTAGGAAATACTGAAATAATGCCCCTGGATCACACATCCTGGAGTTTGCATTGCCAACTCTCCTTTACAACTGAATCTTTGAATAGCAGCAAGTTTGTTTAGGAATAGCATGTCTTTGAATATCATTACAGGGATTGCATAATCAGATTCTGTAACAGTATCCTTCCTATGCTTGCAAAACAAAAGAACAGCAAAATTTTATCCTAATGAATATATGGATGGAAAGGACCTTAAATAATTTCTTATTCTTCTTTGCAATTAATTGAGACCACATCTTCTTATTATGTGTGTTACCAGTATCTTCACTGATGATCTGGATGATGGGATAGAGTGTACCATCAGTAGATTTGCAGATAACACCAAACTGGGAGGAAGTGTTGATCTGCATGAGGGTAGGAAGGCTTTACAGAGGGATCTGGATAAGCTGGATTGGTGGGCTAAGGCCAATGGTATGAAGTTCCTGAAAACCAAGTGCACTAGTTCAGGCTTGAAACTGAGCGGCTGGAAGACTGCATGCTGGAGAAGGATCTGGGAGCTCTAGTCAAGGCTGGCTGAACACAAGCCAGCAGTATGCTCAGTTGGCCATGCAACCAAGGGCATCCTGGCCTCGATCAGAAACAGTGCAGCCAGGAGGAGCAAGGAGGTGTTTGTGTACTCGGCTCTGATGTACACAACACCTGTTCTGTGCTGTATTCAGTTATTCCCTTCACGACAAGAAAGTTGTTGAGGCCCTGGAGTGTGTCCAAAGAAAGGCAACAAAGCTGTGAAAGGTCAGTCCGGAACACCACTCTTATGAGGAGCGGCAGAAAGAACTGGGATTGTTCTTCCAGTCTGGAGTTGAGGAGGCTCAGAGGAGACCTTATCACACTCTGCAGCTCCTTGAAAGGAGGTTGTAGCAAGGTGGGGGTCAACCTCTTCTCCCATATAACTAGCACTAGAATGAGAGATTGTGCCAAGGAAAGTATTCTCAGAAAGAGTGGTGTGTTATTGGAAAGGCTGGTGGAGTCATTGTCTGTGGAGGTGTTCAAGAAAAGGGAAGATGTGGAACTGAGGGAAATGGTTTAGTGGGCATGGTGGTGATTTGTTGATGGTTGGACTACATGATCTTAGAGGTTTTTTCTAGCCTTTATTATTTTATGATTATAGCAGGTGCCTGTTTCCCTGAGGTCTTGAGATCTTCATTATCCATTGTTTTAACAATCAACAAAAGACCAGAAACAGTAGCAATAAATGTAAGCACATAAATTTGTGTTGCTATAATGTTGTTTAAGAGTACAGAAATTTCATGGGTTATATTGTAGTTGCAGAGGAAGTTGTGTATTTATATTTAATTTCTAGGAACCCAACGGCAAAGCAAAGCAATTAAAATGTTGAAGACTTAAAAATAAATTCCAGAAGCTTCAAGTAAAATACCTTTAGCTGGTTAGTGGTACAATGCATCTTTAATGAGAAATAAATTAGGATTGCATTATTTCTTAGGAGGATAAGGGGAGCAATTAGATGTCTGCACTGATATTAGAGAGCTTAGAAATAATCTAACAGTGTGAGCTGGGAACTTTTATACCACCTAATGTACAGGTAAGAACAGTAGTGAAACAAATAGTTCTGTGAAAGTCCTTCGGGATAAACATTGTTGTAAGTGAAGTTTTGTCATAGTTCCATCACATTTTGGATATGTTTAGATTCTTCCCTTTGGTATGTACACAAGTCTCACAGTTAATCTATTGCAACAGTGTACCAAATGAAAAGAATAGGAAAAAAATATTAATTTGACAGATCAGTGACATTTATGTTTGTAAATGAATTGAAGTTTGTCAATGCATTTAATGGCTGTGTTAAATTGCTATGCAGTGAAAAGGAACGCTGTTTTCTCAATTGGTCTATTTCAGTTTTCAAATTGGGTCACAGTAACAAATAGCATTCTCCCTCTTTTTCTCTTGTTCTCTTTTTACTCGCTTTCTTCAAAAAGTAACTATAGCAGAAATGCTGAGTCATGGCTTGAAGCAGTGATGGAGCACCTGGTGGGAAGGCAGGGCCAGCCCAGGGGAGCTCAGGTGCATGCAATGCAATGCGCTGAGTGATGGAAGGGTGGAACCAGGATTCCCCCCTTCCCAACTCTCATTTAAGGGCTGGACTGGAGGTGAGGGGATCTCATTGGAGATCCCTGTGTGCCTGAGGCCCTCTGAAGCAGTTTTTCTTCCTTTGTTTCTGCATCAATGGCTGCAGCCTTTGGGCTTGTTCTTGTTTGCTGCAGCCCAGGATTGTGCCACCCTGCTACTACTGCTGTATTTTCCATCACATTATAGCGTTAGTCATAGTTAGTAATTGAAACTAATTATTACTGTGTTGAAACAGTGCACTCTTAACATACTTTTCATAAAGAAGCTTTCATTTCATGCTTTTGTTTCAGAGCTCTGCTCCTTCCACTGTTTTTTTATGATGTTCTGTTGTAAAATTTTTTAAGGAGAACGTAAAAATCTGCAGTCTGAACAAAGTATCCTGAAATGTGCTGAGTAAGTACAGCAGTCCCTGTTGTTGGAAACTTATTTTTGGTAGTGAACCACTTCACTTTTACTGTAGTAAAATGAAATAAATTGGAATTATGCTTTATAGTCATCATATTCCTTAAAAACAACAACAAACAAATAATAGTAGGGAGAACAGCAGAACAGAAAAGCTCGTGGACTACTTTTCTCCAGGTGAATCTCATATCACTCTGACGATTAAAGTTTTGTAAAAAGTCATAACTGCTATCTTGTGAGTCAGAGTAGGCATGCCTTAGATTTTTATTTTGTTTTATTACTGATGTTTGTGCATACTTAAAAGGGCCCAATGGGATCTATGGAGCTGGGAGGAGGAAGTCTGCCCTGGTTTGTACACTGCGCATATTATGGCAGTGGGGGAACCTACCTTCAGGCTATATTAACCAGCCTTTATATAGTTGTTAATAGTGAAAATTAGTCAATATTGCATTGCTGTGAGTATTCATATCTTGATAAATGCTAAAGAGCAGCCACTTGCCAGCAGAGAACTAGCCAAATAGCCTTTGGAGTAGCTAGTGTCCCTTAGGAACAGCAGGGTGGGACTGCTGCCAACTTCCAGCCAAGTGGGCAGCCAGTAGCACATAAGGGGGTCTTTCCTGTTCTGTTTCACCTCCTTGCTGTGCCCTTATGTTCGTTGCTAGCCTTCCAGCTGCATGGAAGGGGAGGCCACAAAATGATAGCTCAGGTCCCAGGCTGTTGACTTCTATCTAGCCTTACTGCATAGAGTCTCACACATCCTATCTTGGATTTAAAACATAACTGTGGGATAAGCCCACAGGTGTGGGATTGCCTGAAGGGAGACAGTAGTATAGAATGTGGAGTCAGGAACTTTACAGACTGCATGTGCAGTATTTGTATCAGCTTCTCTTCTGCTCCTGTTGTGGTGGAGGCCAGCAATGTGACCTGCTGGGAGTGCTGACTGCTTTTTCCAGCTTGGTTTAAAAAAAAAAGAAAAAAAAAAATAGAAGAGTTGTCCTTATGCACTGTGTCCTGTTAATGCCCTCTTGGCTTCAGTGCTTGTAGTGTGCTGAATGAGCCATATTTGTCTATGGTAATATTAGCTTTGTCTGATGTGTATCTGAACACAAGTCATTGGTTTCCTAGCTGGTGGTCTGTTGGTCCCATTGTTGAGGATGTTCCTGGACAGGAAAGTTGCCATATTTAGGACTGGTGATTTTGTTTCTCTGAGCAGTATGAGATAGCTTTCTATGCACCTATGCTTTTTCTTATGTAGAATTGGGACAGAAAGACTTGCATATGCACAGATAATTCCATTACCTATTAATTTAACAAGACTATGCCTTTCTAAACAATGTTTGAGAAAGATAGGCATACATTTGGAAGAGGGATGTTTCAATTGCTTGCTACCCAACAGTGAAATAACAACGCTATCATTTTAACTAGGGTGAGGCTTTAGTGGGTCTCCTAGAGAAGAAAAAACTGATGATTAGTAGAAATGAACTAAAGTATCTGCATTTGACAAACTGCTAATGGAAGAAATTAATTCTAGAGAAACAAATGAAAATGTCAATTAAAAAAAAGTAATGCTCTGAATTTAAAAAAAAAAAAAATTGAATAAAAGCTGGGTTTTTTTGCTTTCCTTTTAAAAGAAGTGCTATATATGTTTTTTTTTTTTTCTTTATTGCTTGAAAATTTTTTGTCTCTGCCTTTGTTTTGTGCTTTTTCTGCAATTTTTCTTTCTGAATCCATAGCACTGGAGCTGAATTTCAAGTAGACAGGAATTTAGTACTCTGTTCTAATGCTTTGTCTTTATTGTAAGTTTATTTTTCCAATTTTTTTTTTTTTTTAATGGAGCATCTTCCAATGAAAATGTCTAAGAGCTCTGTGATTGCATTTATCAGCTTTGAATTTCCTAATCTTCAGCTGTCTTGAGTAATGAACACTTACATTTCTTGAGGCTGGGAAGAACAGAATTGGAAGGGGTGCAAACTACTACCAAGACATTGCTTTCTACTAAGGGGAAATCATCTTTATTGCTGAAACATAATCTAAAAAGCTTTTCCAAAACTAATCTGCAGGTCTTTCCTTGTTCAAGATGTGCTTGTTATAACTCTGCCGACTGTCCTTTCAGGATACCATTGGAACAAACTTAAGCATAGTGGATGCGGAAGCTGCTATGTCTTTGCTTGCCTCTGGGTGAAGAGAGTTGCAGTAACAGATTGACATTTTTCTCTTGCTGTTTGTTTTCTTACTTTTTAATAGATGGCTCATCTTTTGCTAAAGAATTTGATCTTCTGCAGGGTGTTAATTCTGCAGTGGTTCATGGCAATCAAACCACTGGCAGCCTAAACCACTCACCTCCTTGATTCCTAGCTGTGCATTCTGCAATCTATCGATGATGGCGGACATCATATATCAGGTTAGAACTGGAAGAGAAGGAAGTTCTTACAAACTGTAAAATATTATTGAATGGGAAATTCCCTTTTCACAGTTTTCTGGTGCAAACTGGTATTTCTACAGGTCAAGAATGTGTATCAGAAATAGATGATGCTAGCGTTTGTTTGGCAGGCAAGCTTTCTGATAAGTAAAGTATATGTAAGTATCTCCTATTGCTTTCAATGATATCACTGTGTTCAAATGGCAGTTGCAAAGCAGGATTAATGAGGGTGTTACAGAAAGCAGCTTATTCACAGCATTAGCATTAACTGAAACAATGACATGTTAGCCTTCAAAGTTTTGTGCAGTGACATACGTAGACAGAAGAACTGTGCATTCTTAAATGGTGAAATGCTTGGTTTTCGATGTTCTGTGCATTTGCTTATGATAGATACATCTCTAATTATATGCTCACAGCAGAATTAAAATTGCTACTGAAAACACTAGAAAACAAGTTGCAGTGCAGAGGTAAGAGAGCATTCACTGAAGCAAAGAACAGTGTGAGCATGGAAGATTCAGTCTGCAAATTGAGATGGTAGAAGAGGCTTCGCTTCTATCACTCCCCATTCCCATCATAAAATGTCATTTTTCTTTTTATGAGACATCAGGCCTTTTCTTTCAAGAAAGATGCAGAAGAAGCATTTTCTTCAGTTTGTTGTGTACACTTAAACTGGCAAACCAAGAGGTCAGAGGTCATCTCAGCCTGTTAGCTGCCTTCAAGAAACTGGGATGAATTGTGGTCACCTGATGTATTTTTTTTTCCTTTGCCAACAGAAATGAATGAGAACTTGCTCTTTTTTTCATAAGCAGTTTGAACTTCAGTATCACCTTGCTTTAAAGCCAGTCATTTGCTGACTGAGAGTTACCATTATTTTTGGATCTGCAGTAAAGCTGATAGTGTCACTAACATCAAAAGATGTCTTCTTAAATGATAATTAGTGTCTCCATGGGTGGATTGTTTCATAATTTAACACAATATGAGTTATATTTCTCTACATAAATATGATGCATTCTGACCATGAAGACCTCTGCCATTTGTAATTAGTTAAGGCATCCATATTAAGTCATACTAAGAAAATTAATCTAAAAACACTTTTCATTTATGCAGGTAAAAATGCACATTCTAAATAAAGAAGTACTTGGGGTATAAAATATTTTTTAATTGAACTTCATATTTGTACTTGAGCAATATTTTTATGACAGAATGCTATGGAATTTCTTGCAACATAATGACACTTAAGAAGTGGAAAAAATAATTTACAAATATGAATTAAAATGATGCTTATGCAAACATTTCCACTGTATATTAGTACACTGTAACCATGAAAATAAAATTACAGAGTTCTATAATACCACTACTGTTAATGTCTTCATAGTTGTGGAAAGACTTCCTCCTGAAGTTATGTTTCTAGGACCTATCTCCCAAGCTTCAGATATTCAGTTAAAATTACGTTTAATAAACAGGCATATGAAAAAAGCACTTCCTCCATTCAGCTTTACAGTACTGTGCCAAAGCAGGGAGCGTGTCCTTGCTTGGACTGTCTCAGGTCCCTCTGCTGAACTTCTTCAGCCTTAAAATGTAAACTGTCATGCTGAATAGCAAGTCTGTTCTTCCCTCTGCAAAACATAATATAGCATTATCTTGTTCTTGAAACCTTAATAACCTGTGATTACTAAATATAATCTAAGACTAAATGTTAATTTAAGTCAGTGGTTTCAAAGATATAAAAGTACACAAACTTTTTGTAAAATAATTTTTAACTATTAAAAAGCTAACTGCTTAACTTCCAGTGAAACTTCTTTCTGGGTGCTTAGCTAGCTTTAGATTTTTCACTTCCATTTCCCACATGTTCCCTTGAAAATGAACCTGTGAAAACATTAAACTAATCAAAAGCAGCTGGAGATTAAAAGCAAAATCATTTTCTTTCTTTTTGATTCAGACATTACCTATGCTTAGGTTGTTATCATGAGATGGTAGCTCATGTTTGGTACTGTCCACTTGCAGCTACAGCTGTTACACTGGTAAAAGAAAACAGTTCAAAATACTGCAGATATTTTTAAAATCTCATGAGCCCCCTCTCAAACAAAATGTTGTAACTAAACTTAATGAAATTGAGTCTTCAACACAGTATTTCACCTCCTGTGCTGTATTTAAATGGAGTCTATTATTTTCATTGACTCTTTGAGATTTGTTTCTCTAAAGTAAAAAAAAACAAAAAACAAAAAAACACTTTCTATTGTCTAGAGTGTAACTGAAGTGACTAAATTGATTTTTTTTTTTTCCCCCTAATGTCGTCTTACATATCAAATGAAAATAGTCTTCAGTTGAAGCATTACCTAGAATTACTACTTACACTCTTGCTATCTACTCTCACTTCCTATCTATTTAGAATATCTTATCTGTGAGGAAAGTATAACATCTCAGAACAGAGAAATGTTTTCAGTGATATGTTATTTTTCCATATTCCTTGTGGGCCTCATTTTACAAAAATATCCGTCAAGAACACTTTTTTTTGTTTTGTTATTTAGGATGATAACAAATGGAGAGCTGTTTGTGGCCATGGTGCACAAGCAAAGATTTGATTTCAAGTTGTGGAAACTTTTTGAAACTCTTCCTGTTTGTCTAACAAATATGGCAAAAAAATCACATAAACTACTTGAGTTAAAAGGGATTTGACGTAGCCTAATTTTGCTTAGCAAGCATATCCATCATATCTTTCTCCAAGCCTTGGCTGCTCAACTCATCCAAACTGTAGTATCTATGAACAATCTTTTCATCTGTGACAAGGACCACTCGAAGTCCGTGTTTATCTTCTCCCAGTTGACATCCTATTGCTGATGAAACCACCATTTCCAGTCCTCTGTAGCACCCTCCAGCATTCCTATGGTAATGTCCTGAAAACACAGCTTTAACGCCTGTTTAAAAAAAATAAAAAGCACATATTTAGTTAGCATTTGCAGTTCATATATAAAATGTATTTGTACTGAAAGGCACTGCTGAAGTTGTATTACACCACTACTGGAGTTGTAGGGAAAATTTGATAGTAAGTACAGGTGTCGTGATTACCTGCAGTACTTAGTGGTTCAAAATTCATGAAATGTAAAGGAAACCATTTAGCTTAACTTGCATTTTAAACAAATAACTAGTTAACAGCAATAAATTGTAGCCATAATAAACGATGAGTAAAAAGAATGTTATGCTCCACTAGCTTTGTTTAGGGTTATTAGATTCCCACCTCTTTATGCTTACAAGGTGTTTGTCATCTTGCTAACCCTTTTGGCTAGAAAGAAGGAATATGCCAGAGGAAATTGATTGATTGAAATTAGAAAAAAAAGTAATAACTGCCTGAAGAATTATGTCATGGAAATGCAAGCTGAAAGCTGTATTTGTTAATTAATATGAAGAAAATTCACTAAGGAGAACTGAAAGCTATTTATCCAAGGCTAGTGGCCTTTAAAAAAAAAAAAAAAAAAATTGACAAAAAACATAGATGAGATAATTTTTGATCTTATTTTCAAAGATATTTAGGGTTTAAACAAAGAAACCTAATGTGCCATTCCATGCTTAACACAAAAGGTAACGTGCATTTTGTCCTGATCAAGTGCTAGTGCCAAGAATGAGTCATTCATGAGTTATTATAACTGTTAGTGACAAAAAAAAAAAAAGCTAGGAACAACTGATTTTTGCCTTCAGACAAAGTAAATCCTGGAAGAGATTATAGGCAACATAAAAGCAGAGAGCTGTGACTAGGATGACTGTTATAGCTTCACAAGGAAATCCTCATTTCCTCAGCAGAATACCTTCCACCTTTTTGCCCACAGTAGGCTTAGACTCAGTTCACCATCATTAAATCATAGGAAAGTAGGTGAACTTGTCTTAAGACAGTGGGCTACATCTGTCCTTTGCTTTCAGGGGAGATAGACAGTGATTTGAAGACTGATGTAAAATACATAAACGAGGATCAATCTATAGTTAAAAATTAAGCAGCTTGGAAAGCAAAATATAAATTATTCTGCTATGTGCTTGGTAAAAGCTACATGGGCTTTCATATTTCAAAAGCCAAACCTTACTCAGATAGCAAATGACTCAAGATGGAAATGAGAGTGAAGCAACCTTTACACTGAACAGTGGTGTGTGAAGGTCATTGCCAAGTGAAACTAATCTGTAATCCTGTTTATCAGTACTGATTCTTTGTTCTGTGTAACACCCACCTAGCTGGTGTGACAGTTACACTTGTAAGTCAGCATTATAACATGGAGAGCTTGCTCTTGGCTGCAGGAACCAAGCAAAACAGTCAATTTTTTTTTTCCTCCTTGAGAGAAATCCAATAAGAATATCTCAGAAAGTGACAGTGTGACATAACGGGTTCTTTGTAGAGATTGCATGCTTTCTATACTGCTTTTCATCTTTAGAATTACAATATAAGGATGTTTTAAAACTGACACTGAGAGCAAAGAGTTGTTTCTCAGCAGCTCCATGTTGCAGCTTATCGCAGTGACTGTCTAATATAACATCCTTAAGCAATCGAGGCAGAACAACACAGTGTTTCCTTCTCACTGTGTGCGTGTATCCAAGCCTTGGGGCTACACTTGCCTCCCCTCTAGGCCCCCACATTTCTTGCTGAAGGGTCAGGCAGCATGGGCCCAACCAAGAGCTGTTGTGGTGGGGTTGGGTATCCTGTCCAATACAGAAAGCAAAACTGAACTTTGTAGGAACATTATATATGACATCTTACTTGTTAGACTGAGACCTATCTTCCTTTGTCGCAGCAATGTTAAGAGCGAGCCAGCGTAGAGATGGCTGTAAAGGATCTATGGATATAGCATTTTCCTGTCCTTCAAGTACTCAACAAACAACCAGTATCTTCAGTAACATTCTAGACTCTACTCTCAGGCACGTAACTATCACAGGTTTGACAGGATCTTGGTCTTTACCTGCAGAGTTAAGCTGTGGTTTAGTCTCCAAAGATGGAACATCCAGGATCCAAATGTTTGGCTTGCTTGCATACTACACCAGCTAGATTTGTAAAAATGTCTTTACTAGTTTCTTCTCGGTAACAGTGCTACTATGGTAATAAATTTTAATATTTTTCACTTTTCCAGCAGGTAAGCAAAACAACTTCAATCTTTGAAAAAGTTAGGAAAAAAAATAACATTCAAAAATCATAGCGAGATGCAAATTGTGTGTGACACTTTTAGTGAGAGAAAAAGTGCTTTGTAAGGGAAATAGGTACTCGTATTTTAATAGAAGCATCAGTGTGTAAAGTAACATCTTTCTACCATCCGTGGAATTTAACCTTTAGCACTAAAAGAAGACCAGAAGTCAAGACTTGTGTCATCACATGTAAACAAAACTCTAATCTACAGTTTTAGTGTAATTAGAAGGATTACAAATAAAAAGACAATGAAACAACTTCAGTTATACTATAAGAAAAAACAAATCTCCCATTGTCTGAGAATTCAGGAGATTTTTGAGGCACCTATCTTAGGCCCTTTAGCCAAAACCAGCAAGCAAAACCAAAACCAGGCAAAAAGTTTGGCCCATGAGTCGCACAGCTTTTTTCTTCTCTGACAAGTACTGCAGCTTCTCCCAGTTATGATTAGCATCTGCAACCTGCCTGCACCCAATAAAGTATTTTGGTAAAGAACTGAAATAGGAGCAATTAATAAATACTGCAAATGTGATTCCTCACCAACAGAGCATGTGATTTAAAAATTATTTTACCTCCTGTTGGCTATGTGAGGCAGACTGCCTTAAGCAAGCTGGTGTTTATGGACACTGTTCATTCAGATTCTCTATTTTAGCAGATATTTGTCATCCAGATCCTGATTCCATTGGATGGGTATTCAAATCTGAAATGCCTTTGTGGATTGAGGTGCTCTGGATCAGCCCCTGCTAGGATGAGTATTCACCTTAGATGAATTTTATTTCTCCCAGTGAAAACTGTTCCCAAACTTCAGTTTTCAGGTATTCTTTACTTTCAGTGTTAGAATTCATTCTTGTTACGGCTGTGTTAGAATCTGTTACATCTTGAACAAAGAAACAAACAGGTCACTGCTGTGTATTAATAGAAGTCTAACTGATGTTTTTTTGTTGTTGTTTGTTTGTTTAACTTCAATAGTATTTCTTTGTTCAGTCAACTGTATTCCCCTCACTTTTATTAGTAAGAATAGGAAAGAAATCTCAACAAATCAATGCAATAATACGGAGATGACAAGCAGGCAATTTACTTTGCTCTTGCTTTTGATCTTAAACATAAAAAGAATCTTAAGATCTGAGCATTCAAATTTAATTTATTCCTTTTAGATGTTTTTCTTAAGTACTACTGACAAGTTGCTAGCAATCCACCTTTGACCCCAGCACACATTCACACACAAAACTCCTGTTCTTCAAACCTTCTGAGAACAGAACAGTGTTTGTCCTGGCAGGCCTTGCTTTAGTAACCTGCTTTAAGATATGCTCAGGTCAGCTAAATGCAATCCAGAAGATCTACAAAGACCCTTCCCAATAAAAAAACAAACTACAAACAAACATCCACAAAACCAAGAAGTAGGGAGAGCACTGATTTGTTTTTCATTCTTGACTTCTGAAATAGCAGTTGGGAAAAGTTTTAATATAAAAGCAGTAGGAAATAGTAAAAAACCCACTGTGTAAATAAATGTCTGGAATGCTTCCCAAGCATTCATTATTTCATTTTTAGGAAATAAATGCTGATTTGAATTTAAATGTGAAGGGAGGTTTTACAGTACCTATTAGTCAAAAGAGCATTATCCATTACAGCAAGATGCTATTCTCACCTAGTAGATCATTCATTAAAAGAAAAAAGATTATGATCAGAATAAAGTAAATAACTGTGCAGACAGCGTTAAAAGGAAATCAAAAAATCCTGTGTATTATGTCTGTGATCATCACAGCCTGATGTTGGACTGCATGACAGTACAAGAACAGACTACCAGGGCAAAAAGGCCTGAGCTGACAAGTCATTTTTGATCAGAACAGGACTGAAAGTCAGGTCATATTCTGGATGGAGAGCTTCAGTGCAACACACCATGTCATGCTTTGTCTGCTCCAAAACCATACCTGGGTCATGCAAACATCTAAAAAATAGATATATACGAAGGTTAGGCCTGCACACAAAACCATAAGAACCATCTATCTGCAAAAATATTAATCTCTTTGTTAAAAAAAAAAAAGGAAAGATTTGAAATTCTGGAATTGATTCTGACCACTCTACAGCACCTCTGTCCCCGTGTAACCCAGAGCAAAATATTAGTCTGAAAGCAATGGAGTTCTTCCTGAAATGTTCTCCACCTACCAATACTAAAATATTCAGTAAAATTTGAAAGAGAACTAGCTATGCCATTGCCTTTAGCACGTTGTCAATATTACTTTCAACAAGAATCAGATGAGGAAAATGGTACATTACATTAAAGGAAACTACATGCTGGACATTGTGCAGAAAGCAGTTTGTTAGCAGGAGAAGGTCAGATTACTTTAAAGGATTTTCTAAGTGCAGCATCTCCTTTCCACCAGTTGTACTCTATCACTCTGATAAACCCTTTTGGAAAGAATTCTGCAGCACTAGGGAGAAGAGGTCAGCGTGATTTTGACATAATTGCACTGCCAAGAGAACAAAGGCATTTAGCTATGCCATGCATAATTCCTAGGAGAAAGAATATGTCCTGGTTACAGCTTATTGTCAAACTGCAGCACAGCAGTTCCAGACTTCCCTCCCTTCCTTGGTACTGCGCTGCTCCTGTATTCTGTGGCATAGACAAATGCTAGGAGGTGGAAGACTGGGCATAATTCCATTTTTTGCAGAAAGGGAACAGGACTGTGGCTCTCCTAACAGCATAACAGACAACCTTGTCTTCTGCAGCGACTCCTTTGACCAACCTTTCAGTTCAAGGAATAG